CTGTTGCGAGTCACAAAATCATACCGAAGTGTGTCTCACGAGGCGGTGCAGATCTTAGCAGGAGGGGTACCTCTCGACCTTCTCCTGCGAGAAGACTCGCTAATATTTAAGTTAAAAAGAGAAGGCTCAGCAGGTCTTCCGGAGAATATCCGGGTGAGGATTGCAGAAGACCCAAGAAAATGGAAGAGGATTATCCGGGAGGACACCATTGATGAGTGGAATCGGCGGTGGGTAACAACCTTGAAAGGAGCAACCTTAAGAAAATATTTCCCCACCGTCCGAAGTCGCTTGAAAGCTAAGTGGGTTCTCCCGGACTACTGGGTCTCTCAATTCCTTACTGGGCATGGGGGTTTCCGCTTTAAGTTACATGGTTTTGGAAAAGACATAGATCCCCTATGCCCCACTTGCGGAGTACCGGAGACGGCTGAGCATATTATCGTCAACTGCACCGCCTTTGATGGACTAAGGGCCGATATGATCAGAAAAATGGGAATCTATGGCCTCACGGAGGATGAATTTCCCGAGTTAGTGACGGAGCAGAACTACCCGTATTACAAAGATTTTGTGTACGGGTGGAAAGCTGCTCTGGGACCCTCTCACTTTAATCTAGGAAGAGAACCTGCTAATAGAAGGCCACCAGACTAATATATTGAAAATAATGGAAAAAAAAAGAAGATTTGAAAAACAAAACAAAATTGAAAATTAATTTGTTGTTTAATAGCAGGAATGGCATGCACGTGTGTGATATGGCATTCCTGCAAAATCCCGTGTAGCCGAAAGGCAAGGAAGGGAGGCATAAATAAATAAATAAATAAATAATGTAGCACCAACCGAAAAAAAAAGAAAGCTATATATGAAATGGCGTGACATATATGTGATTCTTGAAGTCCTGTTAAATGCAATTAGACGAACAATAATACTTTAACAGATAATTTTGTAATATGTTTTACCATAAAACATGGTTAAATTTTACCATTTTAGGAGGGGGGGCTTCAGCCCGAAAGCCCCCCTCTCTCTCCCGCCCTCCCCCCGTAGATTCGCCTGTTCTCTGAAATATACATTTTAAGGTAAATAAACGTTTTCGATTACTGCTAGCACTGACTAGACAATAGCTCTAAACTTCCAATTAATTACAAAAGACTCATATACATTACTATAATAAGACATATTTGGACTTACGGAGTTGAGCTTTGGAGCTCTCGAATCCAATCCTTACAATCCAAAATTCTTTGTAAAATCCTCAATACTTCTTACTTTGTTACAAATAAAATCATCTTCCTTAGCCACCTTAATGTTACTTATGTTTCCAAATTGGCCCAATCCAGATACCTAAATAGATACCTATCTTCCCATAATAAAGTTCAGAACCATCTTAATCCTCTCGTTTCTAACCTTGCTTCCTATTCGATCCCAAAAATTAGAGGATTCTGAAAAGAAGATGGTCTAGGGTAGATTCTCTACAAGTCTTTTCATGGTATTTCTCTTTATCACATTTACTATATATTTATTTGTGTACAGTTGTGAATTTCATGAAAAAAAAAATATATTAACTGGTCCTATTTGAGCAGAAATTTAATTATTTAAGTAGTGTAATAGGCGCATAGCAGTTTGTTTTTGTATTACGAGTTTCTGAAGGAACAAATGAAAAAACAGAGGGGGGGGGCTGTGATATGATAGCTGGTGATGTAACAAGACATCGATTTTCCAGTTGTTTTCTTTTCGTGGAAGGGAGCTGTTTACGGCGGCCATTGTTATCAAGTTGTTTACTATGTCCCATTGTCGTAGTGAAGAACAGTTCGCTGCCTTTTGGATCTAGCGAACCACTTCCCTTTACGGGAGGCAGTTTTCGCAATCACTATGGCAACAAACATAAGAATCCCACTCTATATTAATTTTAATTATAATATATTGTTTACTGCACCATTACAAGTATATGTATTCTGTAAATATAACAGTGGTAGTCCGTGGTACAGACCCCTTTTTATCAAATTATTAATACCTGCCTGAAACTTCGTAAATAGCTTCATCTCAACCTAACCTACAACTATTTTATTTACGAAAACCCTTGGAATTGGGGCGTTTTCAATCTGGAGGGGGGCAAACTTTGTCTATTTAATTAGCTACTAAAAACTCGTAAATAACCATTTTCTTTCTACCTGGATCGTAAGGTAATTTGATCACATAACCGAGAAAAAAAGTGTTCTACAAAAATATTGAGGCGTTTGCCCTATATAACCTCGTTATTTTGAGAGTTTGGGGGTGTAGGTCACCTCCAAACGGCATTTTTTCTCGATTTTGTGATCAAACTATCTTACGATTCAAGTAGAAATCAAATGTGTATTTACGAGTTTATTTGGGTTATTTCTGGGGGCGGGGTGGCCGTGTAGGCTTATGCACAACACCGTGCGTTCAAATCCCAGTGCAAGGTGAGGCTTTAAACTCGGCATAATTCTCCCGCTCTCTTCCCATTGCGGGAAAACCCTGTGTAGTCTAAAAATCAATGTAGCTGAGACAAAAAAAAAAAAAAAAAAAAAAAAAAAAAAAAAAAAAAAAAAAAAAAAAAAAAAGGTTTATTTTTCTAAAGTTTTAAGTGACTGATATATTATTTTATTTATAAGATGAAACGGCCACACAGTCCCGCTGCTGTGAGGGTTTATGGATACGCCCTAATCCTATCATTCAGATAAGATTTTTTCAGTTTAGGATATAATTTTTCAACCATTCCCTTCTTTAAGATTGAGAGCAATGACCTCGATCAGGCGGATGAAGTGAGAAGGGAAAAGAAGAACACGTACGATAAATGTATCCCTTTCCTTAAAGAGAAATTCCGTGAGACCTTCGGAGAGAGAGAGTTCACCGTGAGAGGCCTCTGGTTTGGGTCTCGCGGAACTATCCCAAAAAGAACAAGGAGCTTCCTCGAGGAACTAGATGTCGATATTAAGGACGTAGCGAGGTTGGCTGAAAATATAGTCCTTGACTCCCTGGGAATCATTGCATAGCTAGGCTGATAGTTTTAATTTATGTATTTATTTAATGAAACATTGAAAAAAAGAGAGATAAAGAGAGAGAAAGGGAAATTAAATGTTTAAAAAAAAGGGGGGGGGAATGTATGTATATATATTTTACTAATATGAACTAACCACTTCTGTATATTTATATATAAGTTCATTTATTGTCCTACGGATTAACGAATGTGATGTATGTATAGCAACCCAATATAATTTGGCAGCAACTTTTTATATTATATATGAAAATTAAGTGTTTCTCTCTCCTTCTGTATTTCATACACCTTTCTCATTTATATAATTTGTAAAGCGGGGGTTGGTCCGCCGTTGGTTGGATATAGGGCATCCCCCTAGTTATATATAATTCTATAATTCCACCGGATAAGCCATACCATATTGTATATATTAGTAAATGTCAAAAACTAATTTATACTGAAACCAGGGTGTTAAAATTGTCTGATGCTCCGCATCAGATATTTTTTTTTTATCTTAAAACCATTAAAGAACATATTTTTTATGTTAGGGACCAGCATATCTCTGTGTGGGTAATAATGTCCAGTAGCTAGACAGGAAGTGAGTTCGCGTGCCTCGACCCAGTGCCTCAGCAATAATGCATGCCTTACTAGTGACCCTGTTCTGTCCCTTAATGAGATCCTTAAATTCTATTTCCTTAAATAAATCGAGTCATTAATAACGCGGTAGTTCATGCTACGCTACTGCTGTGCTGCTCCAACTACTAGTGTATTTCACCTCACCACGACATCAGTACCTTGCGAACATATTATTCAGAAGGCATGATTGATTTTCATCTCACTACTCTTACTAAACTATTATAAATTTCCAGTCTCTCAAAACTTTTAATAATTTTATTGAATAAAATCCTCAATACCTTCAGGTAAAACCAGCCTAGTGAACTTACAGTATGATGATGGTGGCACCCGTAAAACAACACAACTGTATGTCTTTTCTTCTAACCTTTATTAACTCTTAAATGAACTCTATACTTAAATTAATCCCGCGTCTGCCCACACAGACGTGTAAATCTGATTTGTTATATAATTCAAGTGATAAAACACTTATGTAACATTAAGATTCCACTTTTTAAATAATAAAAATTAGTTAATGTTTAACTAAAAAATTGAAATAACTGTGCGTTTCTGAGATGTGGTGGGGACCAGGGGCGTGGCTTATATCCGCTATAACGTTTACTGCTGTCTTAAAATAGCGACAAGGTGATCGAAAAAACGGTTATTTATATTTTGGGTGGCAGTTTTGATGCTGGAAGCAGTATTATTTTTTTTTTTTACTCATTGATATTTACAACTGAATTATAAAAAAAAAAAATATATATATATATAACTAGTAAATGTGCGCACAGTAATAATACAATCACATGAAAACGCTTGTTGAAAAACTACCCATTGATAGCACTCTAATAATATATTTACATAAGTAGATCACTAGGCCATCTTCTTTTCAGACGCCTCGGAGGGTTATCAGGGATTGAGGAGGAAGCAAAGATTGAAACGAGAGGGTTCGGATGGTTCTAAAGTTTGTTATGGAAGGATAGGTATCTGGATTGGGCCAGGTCAGAAACATAAGGAACATTAAGGTCTTTATGGATGATTTTATTTGTGACAAAGTAAAGAGCATTGAGTATTTTACGAAGGATTTTGGATTGTAAGCATTGGATACGAGAGGAATTCGATGGTTTAGTGGAGCCCCAAAGAAAAGACTATTTTAAGCTCAAAATATAAGATATCCAACCCTATGAGCTAGCGCTGCCAGCGGTGTCGATATTCTCGTCACTTCTTCCCCAGCACTTTCCTTTAACGCTAATAATCTTTACAAATGTGTGCCATATAATAGCGGAGCCTTTAACTCATAGTATACTTCACGTCTTTGTAATGTAACAACGTCCTTGAAGAAATATTACAACAAAATAATTTTTTTTTTTTGTTTATTGATTGATGATTTATTTTATTTGTTCTTTAGAAAATCGGAAGAGCGGCTTCTGGAATGGCGAGACGACTCCCCGGAGAGGAAGAAGCAAGCCTGCGTGTCCCCACTCATCACCGCTCCTGTCCTCACCGGAAGCAAGCTGAAGTTGGACCCAGTCCGCAACCTCCTCCAGATCGAGTTCAGCCCGATCGTCTACGTCGACGAGTCGCCCAGCCCCGTCGAACTAGACCACAAGGACATCCCTCTGCGGCAGGAGCAGAAGGAGATCATCCTCCGCACCCCTAAGGTGGACACCGTCCGGGAGGACATCAACAAGAGGCTGAGCGAGGTGTCCCCGCTTGCGAACAAGTTCCACTTCCTGAAGCTGGGTGGCTTCCTGGAACCGCTGGAGCCGCCTTCGACCCTGAAGAGGCAGAGGGTGATCCGGAGGCGGAGGAACGACAGGCACCCGATCACCGCACTGACCCTCCCGGACGGAGTACCGAGCCCCTTCGAGAGCCCCGCGGTCATGGCCAGGCTCCAACCAAGCTTCCTGACCCTGCCCTCGGGCATCCCCAGCCCCGCCAGTCCGGGAGTGCACCCTCTGTCCGACACCTCCGCCACCTCGTCCACCAAGATCTTCGACGAGGACGACGGCGTTTCTAGTCTAGGTATTATATTTTACTTACCGATTACTCTGTAATTTCAGGCTCCTGCAGACAGAACGCGGATATGTCCCAGCGATATCCATTTGTCATTATCGCTGCGGATTAACGCATGGAATATAATGCAACACAACTTTGCCACATAGCCTCCAACAGAAATATCGTATCGCCGAGACATATCGCATTCTGTGTGTAGCAGCCTTTAATAAGAAGATAAACTGGGAAACAAAAATTATTGTTATGGGAGATAAATATTTAGGACGCAGTGTTTTTTTAAATTTTTATTTTTGCCAACTTTTCAACCCAAACATGTGGGTCATCTTCTCTTTGGGAGGGTGAGTACTTGAACACCCTCAGGGTTCAAACCACGCCCTGAAGATGACCCACATGTTTGGGTTGAAACGTTGGCAAAAATAAAAATTTTTAAAAAAGACTGCCTCCTGAATATTTATCTCCCATAGTATGCAGAACAGTCGACTAACTTCCTTAAAAAATTATTGTTAATTTATCCTCTAAAACAAAACCTTAATCTTCCTAAATAACTATAATTAGGATCAAAAAATATTTTTAAAATCGTGTTAACATTCTTAAAAATATTATCCAAATAAAAATGTTAAATAACTCCTAGTCAATATCGTACATATTATGTCGGTTATTGCGGTAAGTAGGTAAAATGGATATTCCAAAAAAAAAAAAGGCAATGCGTTTTCGAGGTTTCACGCTAAACAAATAGCTCAGAATGTATTAGATACCATATCTAATCCAACTGTTATATCTAGACCTTTCTTTCTAGTCGTTTTTAGTCCGATTAGCTTAAAATATCGCCAATTGTTTATTAGAGATAGTTCATTGATGAATAGTCAGTTGAACTAAGGACATTTTTTGTATCGGATGAAGTGGTTACTGTAGCAATTGCAGCACATATTTGTCAATTTTTGGTAGATAAAAATATCTCTTAATTTTATGGTGAATTATAACGCATAATTATAGGCTATAACAAATATTTTCAATTGACGGATCGCACGGTTTACTTATATATTTTCACGGAAGTTATATACTTGGCGAATTACCAAATATATATTAAAAACTAGATAAGATAAATTCAGTTTCAAGTTAGCAATTATAAATAAATAAATTTTGCGCTCTTGCTAGTTTACTATATTTTAAAATGTCTTCGATTCAACCTAAGCTTGCCAATATTGACGGTACTTGACTCTTTACTTGTATTTCGGAGAATTAAGGCTTTGTTTTGGACCCTTCCAGTAAATTTCTTACTGTAACTATTGATTCTGATTGGTGGTCTGTACAGGAAGCGCAGAACAGAGCCCTTTGCCGATCGTGGAAGGTAAATCTAGGAGCAGGAGGTGTCTCACCTTTACGTCACCGGTCAGGAAAAAACCTCATCGGACGCCTTCTACCAGGCAACAGGGTAACTTTTTTGGAAATTACTTATGAAATATTTTAAGTAGCACCTATCAGCAAAGTGTATCCTCAAATTGTCTTTAGGAGGATTTAAAAAAAAAATAATTAGGTCAATTAAAAAAAAAATGACATAGTATGAAAAAGAAAGTTTAATGGTTTGGGAATAATCGTAGATAATACATGGCTGTACAATTTACAATTTGCCGATGAGGTCATTATAGCAAATGACGAAGAAGATGCTTCCTTTATGATGAGGAAGCTGTTGGGATATACGGAAGGAGGCTTGGAAATCGGCAAAACAAAAGGTGAATACTTATTATATGCCTCAGAAACCTGGACGATTTCAACCGACTCAGCTATAATGTTATCAATGGAGATGTATTTTTGGAGACGTAGCTATAGAATATCAAAACTACAACTTGTTCCAAATAATGCCATTAGTGATAAAGTGAAAGAACCCCTCAATATCCTGTACTCCATTGAGACAAAAAAAGCTGTATTGGTTTGGGCATGTGATGAGAATGACGGAAGACCGATGGCCTAAAAGAATAATTCACCATGTACCATTGCAAAGGGGGAAGAGAGGTCGCCCAGATAAGAGATGGTTGGAAGGTTTACATGAGGTTATAAGAGCTAGGGGACTCCAGAGGAAGACAAAAATAAATGGCTAGGAATTAGGTTACGACATATGACCTTAAAGTGTTGTGGATAAAGTCGTTTATATATATATATATATATATATTTAAACAAGAATTACCATTAAAATTACAACCAAAAATGAAATGCTGCACTTTTTTTTTCTTTTCTTTTGGCATTACCTTGTAGATCTTTTGCCGCCTGAACAAGTTTGCTCCATCTCTACCTGTCTTAGGCTATTTCTTTTCAGTTATCTGAATGCAGCTCTATTGCACCATTGTTGATTCTACCAACCCATCTACTTTTTGGCCTTCCACGTGGTCTATTGTCTAGAATTGAGAAATTGATTGTCGTGTAAAGGCTTCCAGATTGCTCCGAGCTACATCTTAACTCCATTTTCACGATTTGCTACTTTCAATTAGTAACATTCTAACTAACCATAAACAGTTTTTCCAGATTACGTGAAATTCTTTCGTCTTTCCGTTTAGAAAGAAACAGTTACGAAATGTAAATTAAATTTCTTTATACGTGACAACTTAATTTATTAAGAATAAAAGGGAGTATCCCGTCTCCCACGCATCCCCCTCTGCTTTGTCGCGACAGGGCCTGTCAATTATCCCGTGAATCCTGGAGCGATTTTACTGCCATGACAGTAAATACAGTTTATACCATGGCTGCCATAGCTACAACAGTCACTATGATAAGAGAGATTCAACATCGATTGCACATAGGCGCCGTCTTATGAAAATTATTAGGGGTGCCGAACTATAAGATCACGGGGGTATGGGAGGATGCTGATATTGTTTGGCACGGGATGGAGGAGGGAGGGAGGCTTTCGGGTTGAAACTCCCCTCCCAAAAAAATAGGAAAATATAACCATGTATTATGAAAAAAATTACTTTTAAAAGTACTATTGTTCATCTAATTACATTTAATAGGATTTCAAGGATCACTTAAACACCATTTCATATAAGTAGTTATTTTCTTTCTTTCTTCCAAAGTAATTATCCTAATACATAGGTACAAAAAAAAATCTTTCAAAGCCCCCAAAATTAAATTCTGGATCCGCTAGTGTTGGTTGGAATATATCTTATATATCTATATGCAATACATAATACATACCTTTATGAAAAATTACCATCTCAGGAAAGTATTGAGCTGTTTCAAGCCCTAATGCCAAAAAGTCTTAAGTCACACCAAATACTTCAAACTAAAACAGTACAGTATTTTAATAAATGGCTCCTTTTACAGTTTTACAGTGAATCCAAAATAGGATACCGTTAAACAAATTCTTCTATACTCGCTTGTAGATAGATACAGTCCTTTGTAATGTACATGATCGACAAGTTCATAAAGTTCATACTCTAGCAATTTGTTGGGGGGGGAGGGGCTGAGCCCTCACCACAGTAGTATTGGGGGGGGCTCAAGCCCCATGAGCTCCCTATTAGTCGACGCCTATGATAAAACGCACATAAACGTTAGATATATCTCTCTAGCGAAAACAGTTATATTTAAAACACATCTTCTATTTTCTATTTCAAATTGTTTGCCGCAAGAATTACTATTTTATAATTTAACAAGTTTAGATACACTTCTGGATCACCAGTTTGAACTTTTGCTTTCGCAACCTCTCGCCGGTTGAGTAATTGCAAGCTTGCGTGTGCTCAGTGATACGATTGTTATTTCAACTTCTCTGTTTAAACTCCTTCCGCAAGATAAACTTTCCTTATCGTCTTACAGAAATAGGAAGGAGTTGGTCAATTTCTTAGGAGAAATTTTATAAAAATTTGGTGCGGTACCCGCAACGCTGAACTTTCACCTACCACCCTATTTATAGTATGAATGGACTTTTCGTACATTTGGAAGTGAAAGTAAAAATTATAGATGCTATGACATATTCATTTGTTTTTCCATCTTTCGACTCTGTCTTTTTTTTTTTTTTTTTTCGTTTACGAGTGTATATAATTTGAAATGATATTAATGATTCTGAGGAAAAGTGGATCTATCGAGAAAAAAATAGAGTTTTATTCTAAACTTGCATCACGAAACTCGTTGAAAAAAATGTGAGTTAACGTTAGTATCTATTTCATATTATTACAGGTGAATCTACGGGGAGGGGGAACTTTCGAGCTGAAGCCTCCCCCCCCCCACCAAAACGATGAAATGTAACTATATTTTTTGGAAAAATATTATCTCTTTAACTATTATTGTTCGTGTAATTAAATTTAATATGACTTCAAGAATCACTTAACATAATTTACACCATGTAGTTAGTTTTTTTTAGTTTTTTCCAAAGTAATTATCGTTATACATATGAAACAAAAAAGCTTTCGGGCTAAAAGCCCCCATAAAATTAAATTCTGGAACCGCTAGTGCATATTATTTAGTATGCATTAGTGGATCCTCAACCCTAATCATGAAATCTTTTTTTGAAAATTACTAGTAAGTGAAATATAGTAGTTAAACTAACAATATGAAGGTCTTATAAGAGGGATATTGAGTATCTGGATGTAAATGGAGAGGGATCGGAAAAGATCGGATGCTCTCGGCTATTCCCGTAAGATCTAATTTTCATCTTACTACCAATTATTTCTTCTTATTTATTAAATCGAATTCTGTGCTATTTGAAATTTAATCTTTTTTTTTTTTCCAACACTGTGATCACCACCTATGCCGATGACACGTGTATCCTATCAGTTAATAACGATCCGTCTATTGCATCCCAAACTCTTCAATCACATATCACAAGCCTTGAAGAATGGTGTAAAAATTGGAGAATAAAAATAAATTCCAACAAATCCCATCAAATCACCTTTACCCTCTGTCGTAAACCTATGACCTCTTGTCCTACAGTGTCCTTCAATAATACTCCACTTATTCCTGTTGAGCAAATCCGCTACTTAGGACTCCACCTTGACAAACGACTCACTTGGAACCCCCATACCAGACTGAAACGACTAGAAACCGCCCGACGTTTTCGACTACTGCAGCACTTACTAGACAAACGAACTAAGCTTTCAATCAATTATAAACGACTCGTATATATGACAATAATAAGACCTATTTGGACTTACGGAATTGAACTTTGGGGCTCAAAGTATCCAATCCTTACAATCCAAAATCCTTCGTAAAATCCTCAACGCTCCTTACTTTGTCACAACTAAAATCATCCAAAAAGACCTTAATGTTCCATATGTTTCCGATCTGGCCCAATCCAGATACCTTTCCTTCCATAACAAACTGCAGAACCATCCGAACCCTCTCGTTTCAAACCTTGCTACCTCCTCGATCCCTGATAACCCTCCGAGGCGCCTGAAAAGAAGATGGCCTCGGGATGTTCTAATATAGAACTTTAATTTGAGTTCTACCAATGGGTAGTTTCTCTTCATGTTGTACATGCCATGTTACAAATTTCTCATTTACTTATTGTATTCTCTATGTAATACAGTTGTAAATTCCATTAAAATAATTTTAAAATATATATATATTTTTTTTTACAATGTGAAATAGTTATTAAAGGCACTTTAGGCACTCAACTTCTTACAACTTTTTGTTTTTGAGTTAGGCTGTTCTCATGCACCCAGATATTTTTAGAAAACTTGATATTTTGGAGTCAGGAAACCTCAAAACGTGTTCTGTTGAAAACTCTTGTTAAAAATTCTTCACAATCCCAATACTTCACCTTATTATATATTTCATATTTAGGTATGTGAAGGTAAAAATAGTATTTTTCAGTGAATTAGGATCACGCTAGTTTCATTTTGTTTGTTTAAAATGATCGACCAAGGCGATCAGTAACTTTAAATCGTGAACGATCACATCTGTTCCAATCCGACTTGCTCTGCTGTACTATGTGAAGTCGTTAATCAATGTGTCTATTAGTTGTGTCGACTCAATAGAACCTCTTTGGATCTGAATTAACACATTTCTTTTTAAGGTAATTCTAAGCTCTATTAGAGTCAATTTTTTATTTTAAAAATAATTATTTGTGCAGGTGAACTAGAACTCAACATGCAGTACAGTACCGGAGTCCTAACCATACATGGTGAGTTATATTTAATTTATTACAATTTTATATAATATTTATATTACAATTATGACACTAACGACTCCATTTTGTTTCAGTAATCCGAGGAAAGAACCTTCAACCGCCGTCAGAGGGCACTAGCTGCAATGCCTATATTAAGGTATATAACTTTATTGTGATAAATAATAATAATAAAAATAATAATTAAAAATATTTACCAATATAAATAAGTACAGTTTCTTCACTATTTGTTATTATGTTTATAAGAAAATATTCGAATACCCATACACTTCATTTAAAACTGTATCAAGAGAATAATCAAACAAAACAGCTCTAATAAATCGTATTATTTTTAAAAACTAATTTAACCTTCCATAACCCATAATATAACAATGATATCTGAGTACTAGTGTATAGAGTAGAAAGGCGCTTAATTGACAATTAACTGTTGCAAAGCTTTATATTTCTCGTTTTTTCTTGTTATGGGATGTATTGTGATAAACATAATAGTCTGAAAACACATTTTTGAAAATAATGATTCTACCATGGGTGATAAATATTCAGGACGCAGTCATAAAGTTTTTATTGGTGCCGACGTTTCAACCCAAACATGCCCTGATGATAATCCATATGTTTCGGTTGAAACGTCGGCACCAATAAACACTTAATGACTGCGTCCTGAATATTTATCACCCATGACAAACTTAATGTTTCTAGACCAAACATTTACGTTTTGATGAAAATAATTGAAGCAATCAGAAGGTTTCTTTATTTTAAACGTAAATTTTATTAAGAAACATTAAGATTGTCACTGATAAATACATATCAATTCTTATGACGCATATCTGGGAGAAAAACACAATTTTCTAACCACTTTATGTGAAAAATATTTGAAAAATCCAAATTTTTTATTCTAAAAATAAAATGTGTTTTTAAGCAATTATGCTTTTTACTATGCATCTCATATCACTGAAAAACAAGAAAAAATAAGTTTTGCAACAGTCAATTGTAGTGAATTTTGCAGAAATCGAGACTACACAACTTGAGATGAATCTCAATTTTTTTTCTAATAAATCCCAACTTAATTAATATGGACTTAAACCTTATTAAACGAGAAAGTTTTCCTAAAACTGGAGAAAAATGTAGTACAGTTGATGGGTGATAAAAAAAAACAATCACAAATAATTTATTTATTTATTTATTTTTTTAACAGAACTTAGCTGTTGGCCCGTTCAATAGTGTTCTTTAAATAATTTTAACAATGATAAACTCTACTTTCATTTAAAGTTTTTTTTTTCTAGTTTACTATGGAGCAATGTTTAATTACTTAAATCGAATATTTTTAAAGTTATCGCTTTATATTCATAAAACATGAATCGCTTAAAAAAAACAACAACTATAATTTCATACTTTTCTACTGAAAATTTGGCAATTCCTTCTATGAACTTTTTTCGTATATGTTGATGTTTATATATGGTAAAAGTTATATCTATAGATATCATATGTTTATTTATTACATGGCATTGGAAAATTATATATGCTAAATTTCTAAAATTAACCAGTATGGACTACATTACAGATAATTTATCATTAAAGGCAATATGTATATATATATATATATATATATATATATATATATATATATATATATATATATAATTTTCTACTTTAGAACTATAACATAATTTAATTATCGTCCCTACCTAGAAAATAAAAAGACACTTAAAACATAAAATGTATACTCGCCATAACAACGCCAACGCCTTCTATGTTTTAAGTTTTTAATCAGACCTTAAACCTTATAAGGGAGGCAGTGGATCTGAAAAATTTATCTCGCTATAAATCCAGACATCGCGGTTAAGTGTAGGCGGTAGAGCTCTGAGGAGCAACACATCAAAACCCCAACCTCTTTGGAAGGGATCTTTCTCGGTATATCTATATTTATAAACTCTATATTTGGTTCCACTCCCGCACTGATACCTATATTGATATATATATATATATGTCACCTTTAAGTTATATTTTATATATTTTCATTTAATGGATTTATTATCTTCTTATTGATATTTAGAAATACATCCTCTATATTTATATCTATAAATAGACAATATATGCGATTAAATTTTGTGAATATCAATGGATCCTGTCGGGTTCGAATTTCGTCAAATGCAGTTAAAATGAATATTAGTTAATTATCTATCCGGACAATGAGTCATCGAACTTAAAATTCGCTCCTATCTTACGATCAAAAAATTGTTACACACCTTTGATTGTATAGATTAAAAAATGTTTTATACAATTTTTTCGTGTTTTGAGACTAAATTTTTCCCCTCGTCTCCTGGTTTGAAAATTTTCATTCTGAAAATTCATAACTCCGTTGATTCATAACCCATATCAAAAATAACCCTCTTCTGGACACCTCTGATTCTCAGGGCTATCGTTTGGAAGTCGAGACAAGAAATCGATTTCAAAACGATATCCATAAGGATTACCCATATGTTTCGATTGAAATTACTGACAGTTCTATTTCATCTGTATAAGATATACTTTATTTTTAACATGTATTTAAGAAGTGTATGCCCCCAACAGGTGAGCTTGGTACCTGGGCAAGAACGCACCATCCATCGCACCTGCGTCCGGAGGGACTCCTGCAATCCGAGGTTCGAGACCAAGTTCCTCCTCGAGCTTACGGACGAGGATCTGACGAAGAGAGTACTCGTATCAGCCTGGCACCGCGACAGGGGCAACAGGTAAGAAAAAGTTTACCGTCAAACATAAAAAAGTAATAATTATATTACTATTACAGCGACTAACGCAGTAATAATATAATTAGTATTAATAAAATAATATAACTTCCTACACATGCCCCACAGAATGACGTTCGACAGAAGAATGACATGTGGTATACGTATAAAAAAAAAAAAAGAAAAACATTAAATCTCAGACTACAACTATTATTATACTTACTTCTTTCCAGACGCCCAAAAACTTAAATCTTTAAATTGTAAATTTCATTTATGTATAAAAACAAATATGTATCTAGCAAATCTGATAAATAGTAATACAATGACATGAGAACATTTGTAGAGAAACCATCCATTGGTAGCACCTAGATTTCTAAGTTAGGAGATCACGAGACCATCTTCTTTTCAGCGCCTCAGAGTGTTATCAGGGATCGAAGGGAGAAGCAAAGTTAGAAATGAGAGGCTTCGGATGGTTATGAAGTTTATTATGGAAGTACAGATTTAGGCCAGATCGGAAATATATGGAACGTTAAGGTCTTTATGGATTATTTTATTTGTGACAAAGTAAGGAACTTAGAGGATTTTACGAAGGATTTTTGATTGTATATGAATCTGTTGTAATTAATTGGAAGCTTAGAGCGTAAAATTAAATCTAAAACGGAAACTGAACACTTGCATTTATCTAATGAAGCCAAAACGACTCATACGAAAACTACAATCATTTTAGCCAAATACATCAAGGACTATAACTAAGGCTCCATGGTACGTCACAAATATTACATTGCATAGAGACCTTCCCATGCCAACAGTAAACGACCAAACTGCAAACGATTTCACGATAACTTACATGGACATACAAGATATGACTATATTTAAAATGCACGAAAACAGGCTTAGGAGGCTCAGAAGAAGCTGAGTGAAGGATCTTCTCGCAAAAAAAGTATACTAAAATGACGATAGGAAAGGATGCCGCTGGGCACTCCTCCCTCGCGCAAATCAATGACACTACTAGTATTCTTCCCAACAGCTGACTCACTGATTATCAGTACTTCTGACAGATGTGGTTGTAGAAATTAGGTTAAACAAATATACATAAAATAAAATAACCAATCAGATTTCAATATTATGTTTCATTTATTGTGATTATAAACTTAAGATGGCGGAATTTCATGTTCCTTAATTTTAGTGAATTGTATTGAGGTCTCATCACCATTGGATCATAATTGATTTAGCAGTTATAAGAAAAATATAGGTATCTTATATATTATATAATGCCACATATAACGAAATATCGATTGATATGACTTTTCTTCTTGGCATGCCTAGTCAGGTATTGGTTTTAAATTCAATGTGTGTTCTCCTTGTGTTTTAAGCAGTCCAACTGTTGAGTTGCTCTCGAGGAAAAGAATTCAGTTTTAGGGGTCCTACTTTGGGCCATGGAAGGGAGGAGGTAAATATTTAACTAAGAACGTGGGGGGGAGGGCGGGAGAGATGGGGTTAAAAATTCAGAGATCTCGCTTGGAAGTCGTAAAGTCTGCCAGGCAGGGAATTTTATCGCTGCCGACGAATACTGCTTCCTCTAGGCCTAACGTCCTCTCTTATGTCTCAGAATACTAGATCTAAAATTAATTAATAAAACATAAAAAAAAAGATATTGTATTGCGATTTCAAAAAATAATAACTATTGTAAATCTAAGGCGAAATGCTCAGCAGGAAACAACTATACTCTACTACATAGATATATGATTTCATACGTATATACTTACAATATACACCCCTCCTCTATCCCTACAACATGGGAAAAATAGTGATTATATTTTCTAGTCACATCATTCAGGTTTAGTGCCATTTTCTCATAAGTTTTTTATATATATTAGGCCAAAGCATAAGCGGATCCAGGATTTAATTTTTTTTTTTTGGGGGGGAGGCTTCAGCCCGGAAACTTTTTTTTTCATATATATAACGATAATTACTTTGGAAGCAGAAAGATACTAACTAGCTATATGAAATGGGGTTTAAGTGATTCTTGAAGTCATATTAAATGTAATTAAACGAGCAATAATACTTTAAGACATAATTTTTTACCATAAAATATGGTTACATTTTACCATTTTGGGGGGGCTTCAGCCCGAAAGCTCCCACCGTAAATCCGCCTGTGGGCCAAAGGTCACCAAATGTACACAGTTTTTACATCCTGTATTCTTTATTCGACTTTTTGGCTTCAGAAGTCATTTTCAAGATCCTGCATCCTTCATAAAATTTCTAAAATCTATCATTACAATATGATTCGTCCTTTAGTGATTCTTTTATTTCATAGAATGTCATTTTTTCACTTCTCTTTCGCAGAAAATGTTGCTCCTCACTAAGGCATCCATACAGGACTGTGTACATTTGGCCTAACATACATAAAAAACCTCTGTAGTGATTATAGTTCGTGCTACAAATTCTTTTTATCAAATTGTTAACATCCGATGTTTTGCTGAAACGAAAACGACCCGTTTCTGTTCAGAATTGTCACTTGTGATGGAAAGTGGATACTTTACAACAGTAGACGTTCCGCACAGTGGCTCGACAAAGAAGCAGAAGAACATTTTCCGAAGATACCAACTCATCAAAAAAAAAGGTCACGTATATCAACCTTAGGCCAATCAGAAGTGGTCCATTTTGTTGCATAACAACGCCTGACCACATGTCTCACAAAAACGGAGCTGGGATATGAAACTCTGCCACATCTGCCCTACTCACCGGACCTCTCGCCTTCGGATTGTCATTTTTTTAGATACCTAGACCACTACTTACGTGGCAAAAAAATTAATGGACAAAGATAATTAGATAATGCGTTTTTGGAGTTTATCAATTGTAAAGATGAGAAATTCTATTCTGAGGGAATGGAAAAGTTGTCGATACGGTGGCAGAAATAAATAATAACATGAAACACATGTTGAGAAACTACCCATTGGTAGCACTCTAATAATATGTTTATATTAGGAGATCACGTGGCCATCTTTTTTTCAGACGCCTCGGAGGGTTATCAGGAATTGAATAGGAAGCAAGGTTAGAAACGAGAGGATTAGGATGTTTCTGAACTTTATTATGGAAGGAAAGATATCTGGATTGGGCCAAATCTGATACATCAGGAACATTATGGATGATTTTATTTGTAACAAAGTAAGGAGCATTGAGGATTTTACGAAGGATTTTGGATTGTAAGGATTGGATACGAGAGGAATTTGAAGGTTTGGTGGAGCCCCATAGCTCAACTCCGTAAGTCCAAATAGGCCTTATTATAGTCAAGTATATGAGTCTTTTGTAATTAATTGGAAGGTTAGATCGTTTGTCTAGTAAGTGTTGAAGTAGTCGGGAACGTCGAGCTGTTTCTTGTCGTTTCAGTCTAGTATGAGGATTCCAAGTTAGACGTTTGTACAGGTGGAGTGTTAGGTAATAAGTTGAGACTATTTTGATTAAATAAAACAGTTCTTTTTAAATAAAAATCCTGCATTATATATATATATATATATATATATATATATATATATATATATATATATAGCATTACTGGTAAGCCGTATTGCTAAGACTGGAGTGGATATAGCAGAGCGAGATATGGGGCAGGGGAGGGGATGCTGGGATCAATGCTTGCGCGGCCGGCCATCCCAGTCCGACCTCGGTCTTCGAGTTGTCTTCATGGCGGTTCCTAGGGTACTCCAGTTCTTGTCGGAGTTCTGTGCCGTTCCTCCAACCTCCGGGTGTCAGATAGGTCCTGTGTGAGTGCCCTTCGAGAGGAGTTCTTCTGCATCTCAAGAGGATGGCGCTCAACCCGGTTTGAATATTGCACGATTTTTATTAAACGTAGGAATCGAATGAAACAGTTAGTGTAAGCGCACCAGTGATGGATATAGGAATTTTTGGCCTATTATAAACTTCTTTATTGGACATTTAGAATCTCTCTGGAGTCTCTTTTTTCTATTTAGCACTTTAAAATTGAAAAGATATTCAGTTATGCTGGTAGAATCTCTATTTTAAAAAAACAACACATTCTTTGCACTATTGGTGGATATCCCGAAATTCAATTTTTCTAGTAATTGACATAACTCAGAAAAATTCTAAATTTTTCTTTAACTATAACAATAACGATAAAGATAAAATAAATGTTCAACTTACTCTTAGCAAAACTGTTAGTAGGAAGGTATGAAACACACTGATCTCAAGAGCACTATAGAAACAATTTTAAAATTTTCTTTTTGGAACTTTGTTCATACAGTTGTCTATAGATGGCATTGTTGTTCAGTCTAGCAAAAACTGGAACCTTTAAATCAACAAAGAAGCTTATTATTTACATTTAAAGTCCAATCTGTCCATAACTGGGTTTCCTGCCCGCTTCCTGTCAGCAATTGGTGTGTTCACTCTAACTCCTATAATTGAAAATAAAAATTTAACTTTTACCTATGTATGTAGATGTACAAAAGTTTTTGTTGAACTTTTACTTGTATATATACATGTAATTTAAAAAAAGTTATTTTTGAACCTCATTAATAAATGTTTTACAAACCATTTATTTTAATACAAATTAATGAAAAAAATTATCATGTTTTTACGTTTTTATTAACAGAAAATATAATCATCACCATATGTACATAGCCATATAAATACGTTACAATAATTTTTCTATGCATTAAACGTAGCAGATATTAACACGTTAGCATATATTATGTTAATTAAAAACAAAATGAAACATTTTACTTTTCTAAAAAAATAATTTTAGTAAACTAAACATTGCATAGTATAATGTTATACAAAGTTAACATTGGAATATTTTCTAAGATCACCGAAATTTATAAGTTCTCCACTCCGAGGGCTGAACAGTGTAATAATTAAGAACTTCTATTATAATTTATAATTTTTTGTAATTATAACTTTCATTTTAGAGAGAATAAATAAAAGTTTAAGAAATATTGTTTTATAACATTTATATATGTATTAAAAAACGTAAAAACTTTTTTAAGCTT